GCGATGGAGAGCTAGGATATCGCAGACAAATGGTCCCCATGACCCATTCAACCCCAACTAGCGCGGCGGCAAGCAGTTGGTAGGAAGTTCGGTGTAGAATAGGTCGGGGGTGTCTGAATCCACCTCCAGCCCGTTGCTGGAAACGTGAGCACCAAGGATCGTGAAATCAGTTGTCGCTTCCTGGCATTCGCCGTAGAGCCTGTACGTGATGGTGCTCTGTTGGCCTCATATCCTAGCCGCTTGTCCGGTTCGCGGTGTACTCAATCTAACCCTGGAACGTGTTCCCGCTGCCAACTCGTCGCCTTCGTTGTAGCCAGAAGTAGGCATGATTGCTGTGATTGTACCCATGCCATCGCGATCAGCATGTTCGGCAGCAAGCACTGATTCTTAGCTCATGTGTGTTGTCTGCTCCGCTCTTGGCCTTCCCTCGACACCCGAAGGTCCCTGCGCGACAATGTGCTCACCACGCTGCCTGATGGAATCTTCGGGGGTCTCACGGCCTTGGAAGAGCTGTAAGTAGCTGTTTTGACAAGGTTGTCGGTAGAATGTTTTTCCGCATGGGGCTAGCTTGCGATGGAGAGCTACGAGATCGCAGACAAATGGTCCCCATGACCCATTCGACCCCGACTAGCGCGGCGGCAAGCAGTTGGTAGGAAGTTCGGTGTAGAACAGGTCGGGGGTGTCTGAATTCACCTCCAGCCGGTTGCTGGAAACGTGAGCACCAAGGATCGTGCTACGTATCGGGATCAGTTGTCGCTTATTGGCATTCGCCGTAGAGCCTCTACGTGATGGTGCCCTCTTGGCCTCATATCCTAGCCTCTTGTCCGGTTCGCGGTGTACTCAGTCTAACCCTGGAACGTGTTCCCGCTGCCAACTCGTCGCCTTCGTTGTAGCCAGAAGTAGGCATGATTGTTGTGATTGTACCCAGGCCATCGCGATCAGCATGTGCGGCAGCAAGCACTGATTCCCGGCTCATGTGTGTTATCTGCTCCGCTCGTGGCCTTCCCTCGACACCCGAAGGTCCCTGTACCAAAACGAGCTCACCACGCTGCCTGAGGGAATCTTCGGGGGTCTTACGGCCTTGGAATACCTGTAAGTAGCTGTTGGACAAGGTCGTCGGTAGAATGTTTTTCCGCATGGGGCTAGATTACGATGGAGAACTACGAGATCGCAGACAAATCGGTCCCATGACCCATTCAACCCCGACTAGCGCGGCGGCAAGCAGTTGGTAGGAAGTTCGGTGTAGAACAGGTCGGGGGTGTCTGAATTCACCTCCAGCCGGTTGCTGGAAACGTGAGCACCAAGGATCGTGCTACGTATCGGGATCAGTTGTCGCTTCCTGGCATTCGCCGTAGAGCCTTTTCGTGATGGTGCTCTGTTGGCCTCATATCCTAGCCTCTTATCCGGCTCGGGGTGTACTCAATCTAACCCTGGAACGGGTTTCAGCTGCCAACTCGTCGCCTTCGTTGTAGCCAGAAGCAGGCATGTTTGTTGTGATCGTACCCAGGCCATTGCGATCAGCATGTGCGGCAGCAAGCACCTGAAGGGCACAACCGTATTGACGTGCCCGGAGCCCGAGGCGAGGGTGAGCCAGATAGACCAAGGCACACGGGGCTCCGTGTATCACACCTATCGTTCTTTTTCGGGCAAGGGTTTCCTCTCCCCTTTTTGGGTTGGGGCAACAGTACACTGTTGATTTATCCAAGTATTAAAACATGCCATTTTTTCCGGAAATGCGCTCGAGCTTATGTGAGGCATTTTGTGTAATCAACATCAACACCCGTAAACACTCCATTTTTGTCTTCCTGGGAAAGCCTCACTCCGTGGGTTTGCTTTTGGTGTGCAAAGACATCCTTCCAATATTGAGGATGCGCCAGGCCATTTCCCTCGTGAGATGAACCTTGCCGGGGATGATCAAGTGCTGCGGAAGTACAGCTTGTCGAAGGCCGCTGTGCATGCAGTGGGCTTGACCTACAGTGTAATTGGCACTTGAACACGGGGCGGAACATATTCCGTTACTCTAGTATTCGAAACGTCGTCGGTACACAATCCAACGGGAATTCATGGCTAACTTGTGGCTGCCTTGTTCCGCTGATGGCCTCCCCTTGGCACTCGAAGGTACCTGTACGACAACACCCTCACCACGCTGCCTGAGGGGATCTTCGGGGATCTTACGGCCTTGACGTTGCTGTAAGTAGCTGGGATACTTCTCCGCATGCGCTCAGCCCCGTGCTAGACAAAAGGAAATAATTATTTTTCCGGTTTGCAGATCTGCAGTCGGTGCATGCGTTAACTGCTTTTTTTGCAAGGGAGAATGTGGGGGTCGAACGAGTAGTCTGGAGATGTTGGGGAGAGTACCATTGCACTTGGGGCGCAACTGCTGTCGAATCTGCGAGAGTTTGCCTCTTTCAAATCAGCTCGCTTGCTCTAACCTGGCGTCAACGTTGATGGTAAGCAGCGCATCCGGAAAAAGGGTAGCTGATGCAGTTCGGACGCCCTTCGGTTCTGATATGATTGACCGTTGGCTTCGTTGATCGAGAATGGACCTCTTCTAACTCTGTACTTGCCTCGTACAGATGCTGAACGGTCTACAGTAATCACATCTATTACGGCATTCTGTTGGTTTCGTGTGTCTATATTCCGTTGGTAATTGGGGGCTTCAGAGGCCAGGTAGTTCAACGCGCTGCGATCACCTGCGTAAGAAATTCATTCGTGGTCCACATGATACTTCGCCGGGGCACTACATATTTGTGTGATTTCCTTATCTCAATATTTGGCATAATGGCTTCAACCTGCCGGTTCTCTGGTAGATCCTTCCCTGCTAGCGAGAACACCTGCAAAGCGAGAAGTTGTGGTTGTATTTCGCGCTTGTCGGGAATTGCAGGCATGCGTTGGCCCGAAGTAGCGGGCAATAATAATAGTTTCCCGACATGGCACACTGTTTTGGGTGCCCCTCTTGCAGTATATCTCCTATATCTCAAGCCCCTCCGGTTTTACTGAAAGTCCTCTCTTTCCCTCGTGAGATTATCATGGATCTGTGGATTTCCTCCCAGGCAAAAGTATGGTCCTATACTTGAATTACCATTTTCGCTCTACCTGGAACACAATCGGCGCGGTGCTGCGGCAATGATTTGTTGCTGTGAAAGGCGATGGCTCCTCACCAACTGTTCGTATCGTTATTGGCCACCATGCTAACCTTGTTCCTTCCCCAACGTATGATCCGTTGTTGCATCTGCCGCTCTCGTTCGGTCATGCGCCGGCAAATCTTGTTCGGTACCTGAATTTCAGGCACCTGGAGGGGAATTCTCTGGAGTGCTTGCCTTCAAATGAACTGTGAGCAACGCTTTGTAGTACATACGAAGAGAAGAATATGGACCCTATCGCGTAATGGCGGATCCGGCCCGCATCACGTAGATACCGAGCACGCCTGTTGTTTGCCGCTGCTCGCGATATGGGACGGATGCTTGTTACTACGATAAGCGATTGGTGTTGATGCAGGTACCCTAAATAGAAACGTGATTCGTCGAACACTACAATAGTCTTGAGCTACCGCGTTGGCCAAGTTGTTCTGATTTCGCACGCGTGTTGCGTGGACTCTGAGCGCGTCTAAATAATGCATGGCATTGATACCCCGGTCGGTACCCTCGAAACCTTCTAGAGGTCAGGTGAAGGGTTGAGATCCCGGCGTAAGCGAGCTTTTCTTGCAAAGTGAGTTTTTCTCTTGCTTCCGCTCCTGGCTTATTGGATGGCGCTACTGTAGTTCGTCGTGTGTACACAGAGGGAAGAGTGCTGAACTCTTCTCGCATGAAAATCGAAGGCAACGTACCGCAGGAGGGGAGCGTAGAGTAAACGGCACTAGTGCTGTGAGCGCTGATTTGGAGTGCAAAAAAACAAATTTTTCGTGTAACCGTCTTAAAGGAGAGTTTTACCGGGCATTCTCCTTCCTGCTTTACCCATGGAGCATGTTCATTGATACATTGCATCGTAGATCGACCTCGCCTTATTTGCTTCGACTGTCTGTATAGCGAGACCTGTGTGACCTCCTGTGCGCACTTCGCAGGGTGGAAGTTGATGATGATGCCTCGTTATCTGCAGCCGGGCTCCACGTTGATGCATACGGTGACGAATGTGGTGAGTGTCTTGCTGACAACGGTGTACCGATGGGCTTGGGGCCGATAGGTGCTCACCGGTAGCATGTTGCTTTTGCTGCGTCCCAGTCTGCCCCACGAAGGTACCGGGTCGACCAGTAGCAGTTTGCGCGGGATTTTGTTTTTCGCTCCGTTTCCCATTCGAGGCACGACATGGTCGAAAGGACATGCAGCGTTGTTTGAGCTCAAACCTGGCTCTTACTCGGTGCAAACCTCTGCGCGAGACTGATGTCGAAGGTAACCGTCGGGCGAGTGATGGATTTAGGCATACTCAGTTTGAGAAAAATGTGTTGCCATCGTCCTCCCTGAGTGGCACTAGGGTTTGTACCTTCATGTGCAATATCCTCGATGCGCCCCCAAACACTGATGTTCTTTGAACGTTTTCAGGGTGCTCTATTGAGGGCGTAGTCGACAACGTGTGTGGCGAAGAAATATGCACTCCCGGAGATGAAGGGTACACGTGTGGTGAGAGAAGACAGGCCCGAAAGGCAACTCTGTAGTTAATTATCGTTCAAGTTGCTCCTCTTGATCGAGGGGCTTGGGCAGCAAGGAACTGATACTGTCCAACACTGATAGTCTAGATTCATCACAAGAGGTGCTTCCCGGTGTCTCGGAAGTAAATTCGACCTTAGTTTAGCATGCTCAGGTTGCACCAAGACGCCGTCTGCTACGAAAACAAGATTGTTCAGAGGTTCAGCTGATGGCCTATGAAGGTAGCAAGCTGCCATGCATCTTCATATTCGATGTTGTGATAACTCCTCTAGAGATCAGCTTAACCGACCGCAAACCCATTCATTACTGTAAATGACCTTCTCAGGAAGTTANCCACGCTTTCGGCTTCGCCTACGGCTGCACCTGCACTAGACACGCCCGCGCCAGAATCTGCGCCAGGGTCGAGCTCAGAAGGTAAGGGACTTGATGCCGCGTTTTCCGTTCAACAAGCGCATGCTGTATTGTCAAAGACAGGCACAAGGCGGTCGAATATTGACATATTCCCGGCTTTGCTCCAAACATGCCCAGTTCACGACTGTCCGGAGTGATTTACTTCCGCACCAAGCACCGGCCGCCCTTGTGAAGGCTACGGGAATCCACCCGCATTGTGACGAGGCTAGTAGTCAACACCGCTAGTGATCGAAAGGTCTCAGCTTCCCCTAGTTCTGTTTTCCAATCTCTGTTGATTGTGTGGTCCTTACGTGCTGTATGGGTCATCGCAATTTCATTGGTTGGTCGATTTTTCATCATCAAATTTCCCGCTTTGACACGCGTAACAGTGGTGGTATCTTCGCAGAAC